AAATAAAATCTTTAAAAAAAAAAAAAAAGAAATCTGAGCTAGCATGGGGCATACTCAGTGGTCACACTCTTTCTTATCCTTCCTCTTCCAGTTAACCAACGTTTCCCTATTCTACCTGCCTCATTCCTACTAATTGAACAATGTCATAAGACTGGTTGGCCATAAACTTGGGTACCAAGGCAATAATTAAAGATTTATCTAAGTTACAGGAGCCTTTAATGATTTTCTATTGATTAGAGCTATATAATATCCATAAATGTACATTTTGGGTTTTTGCAGTTAATAAAGGAGGCCAGCAACCCATAGCTACCTCTGAGTCCGTTTGGATTGGCATGTCCAGGAGTCTTTGTATGGTTAAAGTACATGCTCTTTCCCATTGTTGGATATGAGCATTTTGAGTCACAATATGTGGAGTCTGATTTAGCCATTTTATTAATGCTAGATTATTGGGCCAAGCAGATTTCCACCCTTTACTTTCTTCCTGAAAAAAAAAAAATCTTAATTTTCCTTTTGTACAAGTGTTTTTCTCTTTGGCATGTCGTTACTCATTAAAGGCAAACTTGGCCTGACTGAGGGTACCCAGGCCTGATCATATGGTACCCTTATTTCTTTGGGGCCTATGTTGATTTATCCACCAGATGTGTTGTTTCCAGTGTAAACAGCCTTAGTATAATTAGGATAAATATTCTGAATCCAAAACTGTGGGGCTCCCCAGATTAGTGTTAAGTGAGTAGTAGTAACAACTAATGTAAATTAGTCTGAGTATGCCATAAGGCTTCCCATAATCTTCTGGGTTATATGCCAGAGTAAGATTTAGGAGGTGGCTGAATCCAACCATATTACTCCTAATGTACCATCTTTGATAGATACTCAATGTTTTTTCTTATCTTAGACCATGCCATCCACAAGAATATGGTTTGTGAGTATATTGGATATTTTGGCATGTTGGACAAGCTGCTGCTAAGATTCTTCCATTGTACCTGGAAACCTTTCTTAATAAATTGTCATAAATGGGACGCCTTGGTGGCTCAGTTGGTTAAGCAGCTGCCTTCGGCTCAGGTCGTGATCCCAGGGTCCTGGGATCGAGTCCCGCATCGGGCTCCCTGCTCAGCGGGGAGCCTGCTTCTCCCTCTCCCACT